AAAAGGAGACGATGAAAAAATGAAATATGTCACCTTCACATGTAGCTGTGAAGGCCGAAGGATCACTATTACAAGCGGTTCTTTAAAGTTCTAACCAACAATTCAGACAAATTGTAAAGTCGGAATCATTGTATGTTCGGATATTCATGGGATCTGGAGAATTAACAAAGTCCACCTCGATCACAATCATAAAACAAGTCCTTCGAAGTAGAGGCTCTATCATTGGAATCGGGAGTTAAGTTGACATGTGAAGCTATAAGGAAATGATTTGGCAGGAATTCCATTTCACAAAAGCTTCAACTCCATAGTTGTTGAAACAAATGAATATGAAAATATTACTTGCGTGGAAAAGGACTATCGAAATTATATTGAATAAGTGAGAAGATTAAGACTTGGAGAAGTAGACGCCACAGTAATATAGTCCTACTTTTCTAGGATGCAAGCCTAGAGTTCAGAATTCTACTTCAGCATAGATTTGGATTTGAGTCTCGATTGAGGAATGTATTTTGAGCAGATAATAGGTGTCAGCAAACGTACAAGGAGTTCGGTGATGTTGTCACATTTGACACCACTTACTTAAGTAGCAAGTACGATATGCCTTTCGCCTTTTTATTGGCATTATCACAGACAATCAACTTTGCTCAGTTGTGATTTGTTGTCCAGTGAGGACACAGATACTTTTGTGTGGCTATTTAGGACATGACTTCAATGTATATATGGAAAAACTTCCCATTATCAATCAAGATAAGGTTATGCAAAATGTAATTTAGATTGTTTTTTCGAATACAAAATATAGATGGTGTTTGTAGCATATTTTGAACAAATTGCCAGAAAAATTTGGATACCACGTTGATAAGGCTTCTATTTTTTCAAGCATATATGGATTAGTGTATGATTCATAATTTTTGAAAAATTTGAAGAAGGTTGGAGAGCGATGTCGACAAGTATGACTTGTATTGTAACGATTGGTTATCGGGACTGTTTGATAATAGAGGTCGTTGGGTTCTTTGCTTTTTAAAGACCACATGTTGGACATGAATGTCAANCGATTGGTTATCGGGACTGTTTGATAATAGAGGTCGTTGGGTTCTTTGCTTTT